CACGCCGTGTCCGAGGGCACCAAGGCCGTCACCAAGTACACCAGCGCCAAGTGAACAGTGAGTTGGCTGCAAACTGAACCCTAACGGCTCTTTTAAGAGCCACCCATATTCTCAAAGAGAGAGCTGCCACTTATTCTGTGCTGATCCGGTGACTCATTACAGTAGTCTGAACAATCCCCAGGTTTTCCTATTACAGTAACTAAGCGGCAAAACTAATACTGGGTCTTAGCCAAGCTCTGGGGCTCCTGTGCAAAGTAACAAAGGCTCTGAGCTTGTCCCTCACTTAGGAGCTAGCTACTTTCAAAAGGGCTCTGTCACCAGTTCGAATCACCTTTAGAATTAAGTAAACGGTGGAAGAGAAAACAAGCTGGAAGCAAATTCAAATACTCCCCAGTCACCCCTTGAGAACAGAGCTGGACTCCTGCCCAGGTTTCGGGGGTTGCGCCTACAGTTTGAATTTGCCGCCCTTCCTCTCTGCGCCCTGATTGGTTCTGGCATCTGAGACCCCCCCCCCCCCCCCCAGCCCAGCACACTCAGGCACCTAGAGTAAATATTCTCCGGCTGTCTATCCTGTTTTCATTCTCTTAAGCTTTCTAAACTTGCCAGGAGTGAGGTGTAGTATTTCCTCTTGGAATTTTCGTTGGAGAGAGGAATCTGGAAGATGTTTTCAGGCTGAGAAGTACCAATGCTGTATTTCCAATTAGGCTGCCGGTTTCCTTCTGCCATATACCCATATAATGGAAAATGTCACCATGACGAGATAGGGCTATTTGGGGGTTCGGTGAAGGCAAAGAAGCTTGCTAGCATCCATCCCAGACTCCTGTAAAACGAGAATCAGTTTTTCTTTTCAAGTTCCTTTGGTTGGCGCTTAAAGCTGCTGTTTGACATTGTTGGGAACCAGTAAGGAAAAAGCACGCTCCGCGTCGGTTAGGTTGCCACAAATCAGAACCAGGCAGCCAACAATGTGTCTCTAGATTATAATTCTTCAATATCTTGTGTCTCTTAGCTAAACAGCCATGATCTGTAAAGCATTTGGAAGCCTCCAGTCCGGCTGGTTTGGGGTTTAGGTAGTAATTTTATTTTTTTTCAACGTTTATTTATTTTTTGGGGGGGACAGAGAGAGACAGAGCATGAACGGGGGAGGGGCAGAGAGAGAGGGAGACACCGAATCGGAAACAGGCTCCAGGCTCTGAGCCGTCAGCCCAGAGCCTGACGCGTCTCGAACTCACGGAGCGCGAGATCGTGACCTGGCTGAAGTCGGACGCTTAACCGACTGCGCCACCCAGGCGCCCCTAGGTAGTAATTTTAAATGCATTTAATTGATATAAATAAATTACCCAATTTATCTAAAACGGATCTAAATTTAACACAGCGATAATGTCTAAAACAATGTTTTGTTAGATCCAATGTCAAATATAGGCTTCTCCTTTGTTGACTCGAATCCTACTCCTGGTTCAGTGCCCACGTCAATCTGGCCTGCTCTCCAAAATACCCTTTCCTTGTCCAGCATTTGGGAACTGCCTCCGTATAGTCTAGGTAGTGAATTGCTACTAAGTGGTTTGCTGTATGTTTCCCCACAGAAAATGTGCAGTCAAGACAGGAAAAATAAAGAAGGAAGAAAAGAGAAAGTTCTTTCCTTCATCTCCACCCCACACTCATGATAACCGAGTACCTGGAAACAACATAATTTTTGTCACTTCTTCTGTCATACGAGCCCCCTGATCCTCTCCATTAATCCAAATAATCAGATGATAATGTTCAAGCTAAATACTTTTTGTTCTTGTTGTTTGTGCTATAGGATATAGAAATGAGAATACAAAGCCCGAATTCGTGGAAAAAGCAGAGGGATTGGGACAGGGGATGAGTCGTAGGCAATAGTCCATTCCCAGATGAAACTTTGTGAAAACTAAGGTTTTTTTGGAAACAACAAAGTTGAAAAGATAACCAGCCAATTTACCCTATTACTCAGAAAATTAAACTGCTTAAGCCATACACAAATCAGGAAAATAAATCAAATTTTCATCTGTGGAGTTATTTGCAACTGGATGGGGTCCCCTTATAAATAAGGCAAGAGTTTAATCTTTTGCTTGAAAAACGGTTACACTTTATTTATGTATTTATATGTATTTATGTATTTATTTATTTATGTTTATTTATTTTTGAGAGAGACTGAGCACAAGTGGGAGAGGGGCAGGGAGAGAGGGAGACACAGAATCCGAAGCAGGTTCCAGGCTCCGAGCTGTCACCACAGAGCCTGTTGCGGGGCTTGAGTTGTGACTGGAGCCAAAGTCACACGCTTAACTGAGGGAGCCACTCAGGCTCCCCTAAACTGTTATCACTTTAACCTACTTCTAACCAGCTTCAGAAGAATTGGTTCAAAGCTAACCTAATACAGTATGTCATTTACAAAAGTGTACATTGTACGTGGTGCTATATCTTATCCCAAAATACACACATTTGTTGCTCAAATACTTACGGCTATTTGGCCCATCTTCCCCAGAGATCATAAACCACGATGATGCCTTGAACATTGTGTTAGATGAACCGGCTGTTTGTAAGAAATCTTTTTTCAAGCTATACTATATCAAATGATATTTCATGTTTCTACCGTGCACATATTTCTTTGTAAGCTAATCTACATCGGTTGTGGAAATCAAGACACCCATTCCCCAGGGGGTTAATAGAGACACGCTGACAAAGTCCATTGAAAGATGCATGACCCTATAATTAGATACCTATGCGGATATCTGTTCTTCAGCTCTATCTTTGGTATGTTAAAGCTCATTCCATTATAACTTTTGTCAATTTTATTTTCAAGTTTTGATGACAGATGGCAAATACCCAGTTCGTAATAACCATATTTCCAAACTATTGATTTGAACGACTTATGCTAAGCTTTAATTTCGAAGAACCACTTTTCCTGATATTGTCCCCAAATGTTGGATATGCAACCCTGTTTAGAGTCTGCATTCCATGAAGGCCTATGCCTTCTGCCCATAAGTCTAGAACGGAATTTTTGAATTTTAAGAACACTGTTTGGCATGCCTGAAGCATTTGTTTTGCACATTACTAGTATTTTCTCCCGTCTTTGCAAATGTATCACTTCACCCTCACTGTGGAAACGATACGATTTATTTGACATCGGGACACCAGAAGAACACGTTGTTTGTTCTCCTGCTATTACTTGTACACCATCAGATCGACAAAACTATGACGTATACATCGGTACTTGATCGGCAGGAGGAAGTGATACACGCAAGGCTCGGCCTGAGCAAGTGCTGAAGGAGGAAAATAATTTTGAGAGCAAGTAGCTCACACCCCAATTGTTTCTACTTCTGAAACATAGTTATGCTTGTTGCTATTTTTTAATAGCATGAGGACTTTTCCTATCAACACCTGATTGAGAAACACTACCTAGGTTTGAAACTAGGCCCTGCCACTTGAAATTTGCATTTACACATGACTTTAATTTCTGTCGCTTTCTTCCTCATTTCCAAAGGGGGATTTGGTAGTGCTTCTCGTGAATTAATAACTTCAAAAAAAAAATTTTTTTTTCCGTTTATTTATTATTGAGAGATGGAGAGACACAGAGCATGACCAGGGGAGAGGCTGAGAGATGGAGACACAGAATCTGAAGCAGGCTCGACGCGGGGCTCGAACCCACAAACCATGAGATCATGACCCGAGCCAAAGTCGGACGCTTAACCAACTGAGCCACCCAGGCGCCCCTTGTGAATTACTGTGTTAACAATGTGTTGCATATAGTAAGCCTTCAACATATTTGAGCTAATACCACTGCTGACACCAGTCAAAAGGGCAGTATTAGAACGAGTAATAACAACGTCCCGCTCAAAAGTACCCATGAAAGACAACAGAAAAGAGAGGAGAATGGCATCTCATTGTTCAGTTTTGCTGGAAAGAGAAATGATCTAAGATATCGAGCTAAACTGATGCATGTGTGTCTGGCTGGGCAAGGGTTTGAAGGGGACAAAAGTGGAGGTTTGTGGACGAGTTTGGGGGACGAGTGATACGGATGAACTCAGAATGGTCCCAGAGTGTAAGAATGACGTTGGCCCTTGTGGATGCGAACCAACAGGTGTGTCCTTCCGAGGAGGCTATCGGTACTCAGGCATACGACAGCCACCATGTGCATGTCACAAAGTTTCTTTTCCTCAACACCCTTCCTACTGCCCAAGCAAGGTGGCCGGGGTGATGCTGCTGGAGGTTACCCACAAGCTCTTTGGTATAGACTTAGCTCACCAGAGTTGACCTGGATCCTGGCGCTGCTAAGTGTCCCATATGCCGGGACCACTCTTCTTGGATCCATGGTGTCATGGATGAGGCAGCTATTGGACTTCACTGACACAGACACTTACTCGAGATTTGGTGTGTTTCACCTTCTCTCATGCCGTCGCTGGCAAGATTATCCATGAACTTCCTGAATACTTTGTGCCTCTATCTCACAGCATTCAGGTCATTTTAGAAAAAGGGTAAGGCAATGAGAAGATGGCTTGGGACTCACCAGTCTTCATGGGCACCACATCCTTCATGAGCACAGCCTTACCAATTACTGGGAGACTCTGTTAAAGTGGCATCTAGGAGTTTGGCAAGTTATCGGAGTCCCATTCAACTGGATAATGTATAGGTACCGAAGAGTGACAAATAGGCATAATTTCTGCCATTGCCAAAACACATTGGCCAAAGAACAAAGAGGCAGAAAGGGGGTAGTCCCTCTGCTCTTAGGGTTAATCATCAGCTCAAAAAACACCCACTTTCCATCCTTGCATCTCAGGGCTCTCTCTGTTGCGTTCATTGGATTTTCGGTTTTTTTTGTTCTTAAAAGCTGTAGTACTCAAAGGAGGACTATGTCTGCCAGCGGAGACTGAGATCACACTGTTAAATTTTATCGATTTACAAAAAATGAGCCATTTCTGATATAAAGTTAAAACAATTTTAATTAGATTCACGGACTGGCTTAAGAGACATATGGGAAGGGGGCACCTGGGTGGCTCAGTTGGTTAAGCATCCGACTTTGGCTCGGGTCATGATCTCATGGTTTGTGGATTCGAGGCCCGTGTTGGGCTCTGTGCTGACGGCTCAGAGCCTGGAGCCTGCTTGGGATTCTGTGTCTCCCTCCCTCTCTCTCTGCCCCTCCCCTGCTTGAGCTCTGTTTCTCTCTCTCTCCAAAAAATAAACATTTAAAAAAATTAAAAAAAGAATGAGAGAGACATGTGGGAAGTCTTGAGGACTTTGGGCTTTCGGATTCCTCTGTTTCTCAATCTTGTATAAGTTTTTGTTTTCCTTCTTCCCTCCCACACCCTCTGTTTTTAGGAGGGACAGGCGCTGGAGCGTTCTTTAAAAGGCCGTCATAAAAAAGATACAATGAAAGCCAGTCGACTTAGTCTCAGAAACCTTCAAGTACAAGTTAAACTACACTGATCTAAGTTACTACAACATTCATAAGTACACAAATAAAGTTTTAATAATTCTTACGAATGGGTCACTTGGTGAAACGGTTTTCAGATAACCGAGCTGAAAAAAAAAATTGTGCTGTCTACCCGGTTTCCTCCTGTGAGATTTCACGTGTGCAGTTGGCTATTTAACCTAATCTCTGGTGTTTCTTTCCTTCTCCTTTACTGTTTTATTCAGGGTGTCTTGGTGCCACATAACTCTACAGGTGACACAGTATACATATGGCCTCACCGTGGAACCAGAAGAACAGTGGATTCGGGATTACGAGCTATTTTCTATAACTGAACTGATTCTGCCTCTGCTCTTAGGATATGACTGAGACGTGCAAAACGAGAACATCATCACTGTCATGGAAAAGCCATATGCGGAAAAGAGTGTATTTTGGTCTTTGGCCAAGGTTTACTTCTCAATTTACACGAATTAATTGAATTTCTATGCAACCACAAACTTTTTCGCACATTACTAAATATATGTAATAGAACCATATAATAGCTGCTGTAAGTATAATGGGTCAAGAAGAAACCCAATGATATCAGACCCTTATTTAAAGGCATTAAATGAAGAGATATAATACATTCATGGGCACGAAATAGTAAAGATGTCAGGTCTTCTAAAATTGGTATTCACGGTAATTCCCGTCAAAATCCTAATGTCCGTTTTGGAATTTGGAAGCTAATCCTAACATTTATTTAAAGAGCAAAATGGTAAGAACAAATCAGAAAACAGAAACAAACCCAAGAAGCTCTCGATGAGAGGTAGAACCTGATGTAGTGATAAAAGACCTGATACTGGGTGGCAATGCACAGAGATGAACACATTTACCAACTGAATTAGATAGAAAGCCAAGGATCGCATCTAATTTTTTGTTGAAATTTCACGTTAGTGAGGAAACGATAGGCTGCTCAAAAAAATTGATGAGTGCAGTTGGTTATGGGTGATTGTAGGAAGACCCCCTAAGTGTAAATCTTCTTTTAGAAGATCAGCTAGGAAAATATGATCTCACTATAGAGAAGGACTTCTTAAACAGGAAACAAAAGTACTAACCACGAAGAAAAGAGTATTACATTATACCCCCTTAGAGGAGGCATTTTCTCTTAAGCTATTTTGCAACATCCACGCTTCTAGGCTCTTTCTTGCTTAATTTGGGAAGGAGAAAATATTAGTGAATGTCAACTTAAAATGAAAAAGGGGTTGAAAAGTCTGTGCTGAAATCTGACCTCGATCTCACCTGAGGTCAGATTTTTTAGCTTCAGACCTTCTTTTCTTCTCTCTTTCCTTCTAGTTCCTAAGTGAGCA